AGTTCTCTGAAATTGGAGTAACGGGAATTCCTAGGAGACCTTATTGATTTTGTGGAGTTTAAATTGCTTATAGCATGTTTATTTTGAGGAAAGTAAATGGAGAATATTTTGAATACACTCAAAGCAAATGCCGCACCAGGGCATGACAATATATTACGGTTATTCGCGATAGAAAATAAGCGTACGCCACCTATCGGAGTTCTTGAAAGGTGTCAAAGCGGCATGGTTTACTTTGTTTTCATTGGTTCACATTTGTTTTTGTTTGTGCTTATTGGTCATATCATCAAAACAAACCGCTCAGAAGTGTTCAAAATGCTGCCGTCAGGTGGTGCGACGTGTTATTTTTTATCGCGAATAGTGATTTGAATCATCTCAAACCTCAGTCTCAAACCAATTATTACTAGATTAACAAATGGCCGAATGCTGGAGGGAACCTTTTCCCAGTCCCACAAATGTATAGGTTCTCAAGATCAACAATAAGGTCACTTCAATAAATAAATAACCTGCAATTTTGCTAAAATTATTGAAATATTGATAAAAAACTAGAGTTGTAAATTTCTTATCGAAATATATGGTTATCATGATCTCTATCAATATGACTTCATACTATAGGTGATACCATAAATTTTTACCGCACGTTTTCTCTATAATGTGATCCCGAGACCGGCTCTAATCCAAGCGGATTGGGGACCATTGCATTTTCTTAAATGATACATGTTATTAATGAGTATATGTTTATTCTTATTAATAAATAAAAAAAAAATCTTTTTCAAAAAATAATGATAGAATACCTAATGATGTATATGTATATGATATTATAGATGTTCCAGTTCAAGTGGAATGGGAATCTTATTTCTAATAGCAAACTGTTTGAGTGCATCATAGCGTCTCTTGAAATCATTCACATCTTCCCTCATCTGAACAACTTCTTCTTGCATGACCTCAGAGTCACGCCACTCCTGAGTTTTTTCCGTTTCAAGCTCATCTTTTTGTTCTATTCTTTTTATTCGACAAGAAGCAGCATACCCTCTGTTCTTGAGAGTTCTTCTTCGCTGTTTCATACGAACTATTTCTTCTCTGGAAAGGCCCCTAAGTTTCAACTGTCTGTTGAGATCTCTGACTGAAATTGTCACCAATTCGTCATCTGATATATCTATAATTGGAGGTGGTGATAAAGGGGCCTACAAGAAAAGATATGGGTATCAATTCATGAATAAACTAAGTAACTGCATGTACTAAGAATCAGGGTTGGCAAGAATTAATTCAGAAGAATTAAGTTACCTATGACTTTTTTCATGAATTAATTCAAACTTTCTCCAATGAGAACAAATCGCATTATGACCTTGAATTCAAACTAGTTTGAACTGAAAAATCCGATGGCATTATGGCAATTATTTGACCATCATGAACATCTGACAACTGTGGAGGCTATACAGGCGGAAACTAACTTTTCCAATAAAGGTTCCTAATAATTAATACGTTGCATAATTATTTATTTTATGTTATGAAGATTTTTGAAGAAAATAAAAAATTACGTACCTATTTTATTTCTTTCGATTTTGTATTTTGACAAGTTAAATGAATTAGATTTTTTTATTCAATTAATTCAAAAAAGTTCAAACTACTGCAATAAGTCGGACTTTTTTCATTTTTTTCTTTTCAGGTAAGACCCATTCCAACCCTGTTAAGGATACATCTCTCGCATCTGATCTGCATTGTCAGAAGCATTTGATTCTTAAGATTATCACATAATAATTGGTTGGAATCTCATTTGACAGGTTGCGAAATACCAGTTAGGTTATGTGTAACGTCCCGTTTTACAAAAGCAAATACATAATAGTAGAAGCGAAAAGTAAAAATGCAGAGTTCCCCAAGGGTCTCTGCTTGGGCCAACTTTGGTCTTGATTTGTATTAATGATCTCACCCACAATTTTCCTCAAACTTGCTTTCCATTATCAACTGATGATACCAGTATCAACAGTATTATCTGTGACAAAAAATTAGGGGGAATTGGGTTACAAAATGCGAAAATTGAATGAATGGAATAAAATAATGTAAGAAACTTCAAGCAGAAGGTCCACTCATTTTTAACTTCTAATGCATTTTATAGTGTTGAGGAATTCCTCAAATTTAAAAAAAAATCTGTGTGTACCTATTGATATTAATTATTGTCCTATATAATAATGTTCCTTTTGGATATAATTATTATTCTATAGCATGTCATTGTCCGTTGTTTGTCCATTTTGTTTTTTGTGAACTGACTAGTCTGATAGGATGGTGCATTGTACTATATCTTTGTAATATGTGTAATGTATAGTCCTCATAGATGAATAAAATTCTTTCTTTCTTTTCTTTCAATGGTTTTCTGCAAACAAACTTCTGCTAAATAATTCAAAGGCATTCAATATTCTTTTTTCAACATACACAAAATCCAAAACCCAACTTTATTGTTGTTACAACTTCATCTGGTGACTTACAGACATTGAATTATTTAAAAAGGAAAAATAAAGCAGTTTTTGTGTTCACACATTTTTTATCAAATGGACGAATTCTTTCAATGTCAGTTCCAAATTAAATAAGAACCTGTTATAGTAAAGGGTATACTCGAACATCAAACAGAAATCAGATTTGTTATGGTTGACAATTTTTACACTCACACATACATTCATAACCTATAGCTCCTCTAGAATTTCTTTTGTTCTGGTAGATAATTTTGTTTGGCTTCAAGAGCTCATAACTTTTTTTAACGGCCATAACGGGCCTTGGACCAAATAATAGATTTTCATATTTCACCGTAAACAAGATCTCAATGTAAATGGTGGGGGGATCATTTGTCGAAAAATAACGATTCAGCTTTCCTTCTTATTTCAAATTTTCAATTGATACTATGATGTATTTTAAATCTACGGATTGTTTGATTGTACAAACTAATACCATACTTTGGGTTCCACAGCGCAAAATAAATGGGCTAAAAATATACAGGGTGTCCCAAAATTGCTGGGACACAGAGCTACCACGTGTAGAGGAGGTCAAAATAAGTTGATTGGACCCAATTTATTTATGTGCCAAAATGTACCGTTTGTCCGTGAGAAGGGTTCAAAGTTCTCTTGAAGAAACACATTTTTGTACGCTATTCAGGAATAAGTGGAACGAATTTGATGAAATTTGGCAATAGTGTATTTCAGAGGATTACTTTCCTTTTGGTAATCTAAGAAACCTAAAAGAAATTGTAGAAGGGTTGAAACCACCCTCACCCCCTGACGTTTTCTTCAGAACTTTTTTAAGGGTCATGATACGGTTCTGAAATTTTTTGAGCTTGAAGACTCATCAATTACCTCCATTTTATCACTCCTGTAAAAATTTTGTATACCAAATAGTTTCGACGAAAAAAAATGTTCTCTCAAATAATGCTACCAGATATTCCTATAGTAATGGTACCCGCGGTAATAACAAAATTGAAGAATTTATTGAAACATTTACAGACAACGTCAACAACAAACTTGAATGACAATAAATTTGTTTCCTGTCGAAATCACGACTTGCCTGCGTTTCCACTGCCAACTAAGTTTTATATCACAATTTAATTAAACTTGTACTATAGGAATATCTGGTAGCATTATTTGAGAGAACATTTTTTTTCTTCGAAACTATTTGGTATACAAAATTTTTACAAGAGTGATAAAATTAAGGTAATTGATGAGTCTTCAAGCTCAAAAAATTTCAGAACCGTATCATGACCCTTAAAAAAGTTCTGAAGGAAACGTCAGGGGGTGAGGGTGGTTTCAACCCTTCTACAATTTCTTTTAGGTTTCTTAGATTACCAAAAGAAAAGTAATCCTCTGAAATACACTATTGCCAAATTTCATCAAATTCGTTCCACTTATTCCTGAACAGCGTACAAAAATGTGTTTTTTCAAGTGAACTTTGAACCCTTCTCACGGACAAACGGTACATTTTGGCACATAAATAAATTGGGTCCAATCAACTAATTTTGACCTCCTCTACACGTGGTAGCTCTGTGTCCCAGCAATTTTGGGACACTATAGTAGGATAAACAACCCTAAGTTCGACCACATCCAAATAATAAGGAATCCGTTGAAACCATCGTTGCCATATATTTTTTCCAATACTCGACCATATTTTCTCCACCTATCCTAGAGTATTTTACACAGCTATTGGCAACAGTCTGAAAGCAGGTGAAATTTCAATGGTGAAGTGTGTGTGTCTATCCAGAAATGAGGAATGCCAGAATGAGGCCTTCGGGCTATCTGTCTCCACACTGCGACCTTTTCAGATCTATTGTGTCTATCCAGAAAGGTAAATGAAGTGCTATGTTTCTACTATCAAACAGAGAGGCAGTTAGGAAAAAGCCTTCAAAATAACCAATTTCGCGAATATCACTGATATAATTTGTTAGATAGATTTACTACTGTTTTCTCGCCATTTTCCTAACGAAAAGACTATGCAATTTCAATTTGGAATAATTACCTGTGGTCGACTTCCGGCTCTTAATTTTCGTAAAAAACCTATAGTCGTCCGGCCGGCCGACTACTAGAAATTACCTCTATCAGATTATGACAAAATTTTTCTGATTCATCAAGCTTTGAATGCTTTATCATCTGAATAACTCAGTTTCGATGAAATTATTCAAAATCCAATAGTCGTCCAGGCGAGCGTCCAGGCAAAAAGACTCGCAAAAATACCTAGAGGTCATAGGTTCTCTGAAACCCGAGATGAAACCAGTACTCGCCCTCTCACTTTGAATGCATATTTCAACCAGTATGACCTTTTCAAACTGAAGGATTTTTCAAAATTTTTGTTCCAGCAATTGCCTTGGAAAATGCTGACTGAAAAAAAATCGACGCAAATACACCAATATCCCCTAGCATCTCTGACAGCTACTTTTAGGAAAAATTAGAAATGGAATGTTCCTTCGGGCTGCCGCTCACAATTTGGGGTTCCAAAAACTACCCTTTGCTGGATACAATCGCCAAACGAAATTTCCAGCAGTTCCCCTTGGCCACTTGAGAATTCATTGAAATCATACATATTTTTCATCAAATCTTTCCAGAGGTGCGAACACCATCCTTTTATATTTGCATAATCAATTCAAGTATATACATATAATGACTAGGAGGAGATTATTGGACATAGCCCTCATAAACAGATAACAGTATATACGTGTTTCGGACTTTCGGCCCTCATCAGTACGGTGAAAGGAAGTGCAAAGGATAGGCAGCACTTGGTAGAGAACGAAACAACAAATAAACGGAGTCAACAAACAGAAGCCAGCCGCATATTTGTGATTTCAGTCAGCAGACCCTGAGGTTTCAGGGAAACAGCTAACGTCACCACGGAGGCAGCTATAGCTACCTGCGTGACATCCTTGTAGAGGAGTACAACAAATAATAAGATGCAAATATTATCGAGGGAACTGTAAAGTGATTAGGAGGAGATTATTGGACATAACCCTCATAAAGATATACACGTGTTTCGGACTTTCGGCCCTCATCAGTACGGTGCAAAGGATAGGCAGCACTTGGTGGAGAACGAAACAACAAATAAACGGAGTCAACAAACAGAAGCCAGCCGTTTATTTGTTTTTTGTTCTCTACCAAGTGCAAATTATAGTCTAGTCTGCAAATTGATATCCGAGGCTGGCAATCAGGCGAGACAATAGACAGTGCATATTACATTTTTTCGTCGACCTCAAACACATATATTCACACCACGGTCCTATGCATACGTGAAATCTATCGGATTTCGTGAATAATTAATTTGACAACAGCAAATGACAGTTGTTGTCAACTCAGTCTCCGCGCGGACCAGGGTTGACAGTTCGATTTTTATTCCTTCAGTGAATTACCTACCATATCAAAAATTCAATGGATTTCAATTATTGATCTATTTAAAATCTATTTTATGCTATATGAATTCCAAGAAAGGATAATGATATAAACCTTAAGTACTTTTAGTAAACACAAAAGTAACTTATTTCCAACAAAATAGAAACAAACAGAACAAACATTCTCATAAAAGAATAACATTCCTAATTCTCGATTTAAAAATATTCACAAATATCACATAATAGTTGCATAGGTACTTTTAAGATTTGAGTATATAAAAAACAGGAGTGAATAGTAAAAATGAACAACAAAAATACAAACAAATGAAAAAATTAAATGTAAGAAACAAACTGTTATAACAGAGGTATATAAAATTGAATTTGATCTGAATAAAATGAAGTATTGTCCTTTTTTGGTTTATACATATCATATTACCTATTATGTGAATTAATTACTTATTTTGTAAATCTAATTTAAACAGAGCGTGCCGAAATATCATGAAATTTAAAAGTGTATGTTATTAACTAAAGATTGATAATAATATAGGTAATTATAATAATAAATAAGTGTCAAAATATTTCTCAGTAGGTTATGAAATGTTTCAGTAGATCAATATGCAAATCAGGAGATCTTCAGTAAAATTGGCAACTCTGCAGTGTATGTGATTAACTGAAGATTAATAATAATATGGGTGATTATGATAAATAGCGGTCAAGATATTTTTCAGTAGGTTATGGACTGTTTCAGTAGATCAGTAGATCAGCAAATCAGGAGATCTACTGAAAATTCAATACAATTGGCAACCCTGCAGCGGACGAAAAGTGTTTACAATAGTATTTTGTGCAACAAGTGGGGAAAGTTCTCACGAGTGTGAAAGTTTGTGGCACCAGCCTGAAGGGCAAGTGATGCAAAAACACGAGTGAGAAAAGTACTATTCCCCACATGTTGCACACTATACTTTTTCTACAACTGCACTTATCCAAAGAATCCAAGTAATGTATAACTTATTGGTATTCAATTTATAATGTGGCACTATGCCACATTGAATATTGTGACCAAAGAGTAGACGCCTTTCCGAGTTCCTCAAAGTATTTCAAAAAAGTGCACTATGAAAAAGATTTCGTTTCTGTATTTTTTTTAGATTCCATAAATTTTTCGTACATGCCAATTCATACTTTTTTCTTGAAATTTCCGGAAACAAATCCAATTATCACAGCTCTTCCCATTATCTCTGTCTCTGGTGGTGTATTTATCAAAATCGTCACATCCCCGTATATACATCATATTATTTATCATGAATTGTTGGAATAATATTTGATGGAAACTGCGATTTCTATCAAAAGCACTAATGAGAACTATGAGAACTTTGAAATCAAAATATAAGTCAACTGGTGGACTATGTGCATTTACCTTACAAATTACAATATATTTTCCTAAAACTTTTGATAGGTATTTGCCAAATTCCCAAACTCATCTCAGGGTGGCCCTGTGTATTTGGTCTTTATGTGGTATAAATTTTACAAATCAGGTCTAAAAAAGTTTCCACATTCATTCAGAAATTATTGTCCAGAGTTCATCCATGTCACATGGTATACTTAACTAACAGAATCAATGAAGAATTTGTGAGCGAAAAACACTAATGGAGCTGCAATTCTAGCTATGTTCCTAATTTACTCCACTCTGAATACCCTGTGCCCTACTACACTATTCTGACCTCAACTTGGATGAATTCTTTAAATATCAGTTTTGAAATGTGATCTGATGTCATCCCATAAGCTGTTCCCTATGCCCTTTCTCCTACGCCCTATGAGGGTTTCCCCATACATGAAGATACTTCTGTTGACTATGTAATAGTAATAATAGATTATCGGAAATAAATTCTATCATTTACAGACATTAACTTACAAGTTTTCCAGTTCTCTTCACCTCGGAGCCCATTTTTCTCATTAGGTGTTTGAATTTCAGATTTCAGCTCAGTTAATTTTTCATTTATTTCTATGATATCAACACAAGAGAAAGGGAACAAGAAGGGAATATTTTTGAAACCTGTTCAATTTTTGCAAGTCATTGCTAGATAGATTAGTGGTTATTGTTGGGGTGGCAGTGGCGTCGTCCCAATTTGGTTTTCATTTATAAACTGTGAAAACATGGGGGAGTCTGTTTTACCCCCTTTATTCGTAGGTTTTACCAGGTCATGCTAGTCATGTAGCCAATCATTGATTTAAAATGAGAAAAAGCATCAATAAGCAAAAAAATATGAAAAAAAATTGGTTTGACACAAACACAAAGTATAAACAGACAAGCACATGGCAGCATGGCACATTTATTTATCAGTTTTATCACAAATGTCACAAAATTGTCATAAACAACAGTTGGCAGTTGATATGTTAATAAGTTGACAGTAAGGTGGCAATATTGACGTTGACAGGCAATTTCCTTCAAGGGACAGTAGAAGACAAAACATTACGAGCGTCTCGAGTCAGGAAGAAGCCATGGGTGTCTGCTTCATTCTGTTCTAATCCTGATGGCAGTAAAGTCTATGGCAGTAAATGAGCAGAGATTTTAGTATCATTCAACGTGACATTTTTGTTGAGGATCGAGGTTTATTTGAGAAATTTCAATATATGAATATTAAAACTACTTCATTCATAACCTGTCAGAATGAAGCCAACTACTCTCTATATTCCTACTCTGAGACGCCGATGAGAGACGAGAGGACCAAAAGGTCGAAAAGTGTGACACTTTTCCACAGCTCGTGTAATTTACACTGTAGTTGAGTTTTCGCATGAAAAGTGCATTCTACGTCATTGATTCTACCACATTCTACCATCCCACATCAGTCTAGTTTTATGGTCTAGTAAGCCTAGTCCAGTCTTTTCAGTCTAGTCATTGTCGTTCTAAATGGCTTAGTTAGGTAGTCAGTAGGCGAGAGCTAACAGAAGTTAATAGACCTTGAGAGCTAACCTCCTCGCCGAGATGCATCCATGCATCTCACTAATCTCACTCCTCGTCTCCTAGGTCGCCTAAATGATGGAAGTAAATGTCGCCTACTAGGTTTTCAATTTTCAAATTTTCAATTTGACCGACAATGGTCCAGTCAGAGTGAGTAGAATGAGGGCTAACATTATTTATTGTTCAGCAAACCGCGCAACCGAAACATCTGGTCAGGTTTTCTATTTGCCATGGCTTTCAGGGCTCCCCGGCAAAATTTTGGGATTTTTGACTTTGACATTGACCTCACGTTTTAGTATGTATATGTATTAGGAGACAGCCATGTCATTTTGAAATATAACATGTAGATTACTAATTAATTGGGCGTAAAATTCTGAGTAGTCAATGACGGCTAAATATCTAGACTGTCTGACGGGATAACCCTGGATAACCCCAGATAACCCGTCAGACCGTCTAGATATTTAGCCGTCGTTTTGAGGTCTAGATTACTTTATGTTGGTATCTTTGGGTGACCTTCACAGTTGAGATGTTTATAATTTTCACAGTAATCAAAAACAAGATTTTTTCATTTTCTGAATAATTTAAGTCAAACAGTTTTAATAATTCGATAATTTCTTGAAATAACATTTCGGTATGAATATCGAGGAAAAAGATGAAGAAAAAGAAGGAAAAAAGCCGATAATTGTTAGAAATTCAACAGATCTACAACGTCTGAAGCTGGAAAAGTTGATGAGAAATCCAGTATGTTGAAGATTTTTTTAAGAATACTAGTTTGAAATATGGAGCTTTTCAATTTTAGGATAAACCAGTCTTAATTCCAGACAGACCAAAAGAAAGAGGAATGCCCAATGTTCCAGATTTTGTTAGAAATGTTATGGGATCTAGTGCAGGAGCAGGTTCTGGTGAATTCCATGTCTACAGGCATTTACGAAGAAAGGAATATGCTCGACAGAAATATATGAAAGAAAGAGCAGAAAAGGTATTATTTGATTAATGTTTTTAATATTTCACCAATATTTAATTCAATGTTTGTTCTTGGTATGGTTCAAATCAAATATTGCCTTATCACATTATCAGAGTTTATAATACCTACCTACCATGAGGATTTCCAATTTTTAGGATAAATTAGAAGAAGAGTACCATGTTAAATTGGAAGAAAATAAAAAACTGGCAGAAGAGAGGACAGCTAGAAAACGATTGAAGAGACTCAAAAAGAAAAAGACGAAAAAAAGCAACTCAAAGAAAATCAAATCTACTGAGCCAAAACAATCGTCATCATCAGAAGAAAGTGATAACTGTACAACTACAGAAGATGAAAGTGCAAAGGAAAGTTCAGACTACAATGAGGCACATCAAAAATCTGAAAGCCAAACTGTGGAACAAGAAAATGTTAGTGATGTTATATCACTTGTATCAAATAATACAGGTATTGCTGAGGAAAGTAGTAAGGAAAATATTCAGTGAAAATATATTGCAGTGTATGGGTATCATTTATTTCACTTTCACTTTTTCTCATCATATGTTGTAAGTTGAAACTATTTATTGTTGCACAATATATTGTATTTTCTTATAGAATTATTTCAGAAACACACAAATAAATGGTGATTTCATGAGTTCTATGTTCTGTTTTTATCCCACAATTATTCAAATCAATAGCATCTCAGTTTCAGTTGAAACTTAAACCAGAAATACTGAAATAATATAACTCTTGTTATAGTAATAAAAATGATCGATCCAATATGCAACTATCAGTAGGAGAGACGGCTGCAAATTTCAATTTGATAACAAAAGGTATATGTTCCAAAGGCATGTAAAAACACTGTATTTTATCGATTGGCACCAATGCCAATTACTATCCTGAGCAAAATGATTGAAAAATGGCACTTTCCTGTGCGTTATAATTTGCACTCAATTTCGCGATTTGATACCGAGATAAGAATTGAGATTTAATAAGAGTCAAAGGAATGAGATATAATAAAGTGCCTACAAAAATTTGCTCAACATCATACAGAGTGTGAGAGTGATCAAAAATTCTTCCTGATTTGGAAATATCCGATATTTTGTATCGAATTAGAAATTGTACGATGAATTATTCCAGATTGACTCATTGGTGCCAATTATATATCCTATACTTACCTATTTTCAACGGCTTACAAGAAAAATTTTCAATAAAATGAATTACCTATTGCCATCCACAGTGCCACATGCAATCTGTCGCGTTTAAATATACTATAGTCTAATTTGCTAAAGGAGGAGCCGCCGAAATCAAACCAAACGACAGCAGTGATGCCAAGTGATGCACATTTGTTATTGTTGATTATTGTTAGTGGTACTTTTATTCTCGATATCTTTTATGCTTTGACCTCCAAAGTGGCCTCTTTCCTTCTTTCGGTCGCGCCTGATATACGTGATCCGATTTCGACACGAATTCGACTGAAGCGCTCTCATCATTATCGCGTATGCAGAGTGAATTCATATACCCAAACGCTCCTAGTGGTTAGCGCTGTCGATGTCGTCAATTTCCATCAAGGGATTCTAGTAATCAAATATCTGTCAGTCTATTTCTGTGATTTGATTTTGAAAAAATGCGAACGAATGAAAAGGATTTCAACCCTTTACACAATGTTTTGGTACTCATTTATTACGGAACATGAATTACTCTCATTGTTAAAAAACAAACTAAAGAATAAAAAATCGTCTGGTCCAGATGCCATACCGATGTTTATATTGAAAAGAGTTCTTCCTTTGATAATATTTCCATTACAAATGAAGTATTTATAAGATGTGATTTTCCACACAAGTTAAAAACCGGTAAAGTCACTCCTATTTTCAAAAAGAAAGATACAACCCTTTCGTGGAAAATTATCGTCCTGTAACAGTCCCTTGTGGACTCTCGAAAGTTTTTGAATATACCTTTTTGAAACGTCTTAATTCGTTTCTTGATAAACGTTCTGTCTTGAGTAATAGGCAGCATGGATTTCGTTCTGAAAAATCTACGAACACACATTGATGACTGGCAAGGGGCAAGGGGTTGGGTGTTTTGGCTGGTTCAAGATTTAGAATTATTCTGATCATCCTGTATCTGTTCCGATTGAACATCAGTAAATAGTAAATGAAAAGTTGAGATATAGGGACATGTGAGCCGTTTTGGCAGATAATGAATATTTTCGACACAAACAAATCCTGAAGTTAAAAAAATCTCGATTTTGAACACCCTATATATATATATATTTCTGTAATCATTCCCGATAGACCCCCAAGTTTGATTTATCGATGAAATTATTTTGAAAGAAGAGAGCGCGTATTCTAAAATATAAGCATGCATATTTTCATGTATTTCTTCTGACTGATTCGCGATATATAGAGATAGTGTATAAGCTTGTCGTGACATACCCTGTATGTTTCGTACCGTTTTTTGTATTCTTTCCGATCGAGGAATACTCTCTTCTGATTTTCGTGCTTTCTGTTCGAAACTGTATTTTTTCCGATCAAGAAATGCTATCTTCTGATTTTCGTGCTTCCTGTTCCAAACTGTATTTTTTAAGAAACTACCATCTTTAATAACTGTGATACAGAACGTAATCTCGATTTTGGCAAAATCTTCATCTATATGGTCAGGTCATAACTTTTGAACCACTGTGTATAATCGATTCATACTTGGTAGGTATATTCAACTCATATCACTCATCAAAACTAAATAGGAATCGAATTTAGAATCCAGATCCGTCTTCAGGCAAAACAGAAAACTTCTTCTTTCTCAATAACAACACTGATGTCTATATTAGAATTTTGTAGATATGTTCTGATACCTGCAAGGAGCAGGAAATATCAATGAATTGGTCTACTTTTTAACAGTGCGCATCCAATTTGAAGAATAGAATTTTTATTGAACTCGTAATTCAAAATCCAATGTTATTAAAAAAAACTAACCAGTCCTCAAATTTCAACTTAATTAGAGCTGAATTAGGTGAACTATCGATGGATTTTGTTCCGTAGAATAATTTGTCAATTATTTTAGTTATTTTCGTGTGCTCATTACATTTTGACACACACAAATGTCAAGTTTGATGCGCGCTTATGAAAAGTAGGCCACATTGTTCATTATTTTCCTACTCTCTTCAGTTATTGAAAGATATCTAGAGATTTTGGGAAAGATTATATTTTCAGCCTTTGTTCAATCATTAGACTTTCGAAAATAATACTGTCAGAATATATCCGTGTTCAATACTTCATCTTATATTTTGTATATTATATATCTTTTCCCCCCGTATAATTCCATTATCATCATTAGTCATAGATAAATCATTTGTTCGGAAATTAATCGGTTAGCAGCATGATTCAACTTATTAGTCATTCATTCGGGACCAGGTGGTAAGTCATCAAGACAGTCTTATATTAGTTATCATCAAGTACGGTCGTATTTTGTGATCGACATTGAAAAATACGCGGAAGGAATTATTTATCGTTCCAAACGGAGTGTTCCCTAAAAAATGAGTGATAGTAATGTGTTTCTGTATTCCTCATTCAATAATTCATATCGCGATCGTATGTTGTTCTGATCGAAAAATAGAAAATTCCAAACAATTGAATTGCAGAAATCATTTTTCACTTTTTTCACGCTGGTGAGATTTTCTTCGATTTTTTTATTTTAAATGATAGTATAATCTGATAGAGGTATTTTGAGCCGATACCACTCGAAACATCTAGAAATCTCAGAGTAGCTACTCCTTTGATTTATTTCCACTACGTGTGACCAATATTTTTAAAACAAAAATTGTTTGCCTGTATGTCACTGTGGTAAATTATTTCTTGGTAATGGAAAGGGTTAGATCGCTTCATTACATATTGTATGTTAAGTTCTTCCATAATCACGAGATTTTCGGAAAAAATATATTTTCAGCCTATGTAAAATTCTTTCATATCGTAAGTGATTTTCGAAAAAAAAATAGCACCTGTATACAAAATATCTCCCCCTCCCCGTTCAATTTTATTATCATCATTAGTCATAGATAAATCATTTTTATTTGGAAATTAATCGGTTAGCAGCATGATTCAACTTATTAGTCATTCATTCGGGACCAGGTGGTAAATCAAGACAGTTTCATATTAGATGTCATCACGTACGGCCGAATTTTGTGACCAACATCGAAAAATACACGAAAGAAATTATTTATCGTTCTAAACTGAGTGTTCCCTAAAAACTGAGTGATCGTATTGATTCGTATATAGTGTTTTTGTATTCCTCATTCGGTTTCAATAATAATAATATCGGGATCGTGTGTTGTTTCATCAGAGCCTCACTTTTTTCACGCTGGTGAGTGCAGAGAAATTCTCTCGATTGTTCCTCATATTTCTCTGTATTCATTTAACTTCATTACCCTATACAGGGTGTGTCAATACGAGCTTACACTTTCTTTAAATCGAAAATCAGTCGAGAGAAATCCATGAAAATGTGCATGCTCATATTTTGGTATACGCCCTTTTCATTTAAGATATGTTTGATAATGCAGTGTTGCCGCTTCTACTAGAAAGTAGTAGCAACATTGATATTTCGAACGGAACACCCGCCTGTATTTCATCGCATTTTAAAATTCTCCCTGAAGAGCTGATTTCATCGGTATATCATACTTGGGTCTATCGAAAATGATTATAGGGTGTTCAAAATCGCTATTTTTCGACTTTAGGATTTTTTTGTGTCGAAAATATTCATTATCGGTCAAAACTTCATCTGATGATATTAATTTCCTGATTTAAATGTACTTCGATCAATATGTGATGTTTAGTTGCAGATCCGAAAAGCAGTGTTTGATACTTGTGGGTTAGGTATACAGGGTGATCCACGGTGGATGGCCTATTAGAAGTATCTGGAGAACGAAAATACAGAACATCCTGAAAATTGGGTTTCTTCGATAATTGAACATTCTCTATTTGTCTAAAATATTTTCATCGATACAGTGTTGCCACTTCTATCAGCAACAACTAGCAACTTTGTTATTTCAAATGGAACACCCTGAATTTTATTGCATTTTTAGATTCTTTCTGAAGAGCTGATTTCATCACACTTGGGGTCTAGCAGGAATGATTACAGGGATATAGGGTGTTCAAAATCGAGATTTTTCAATTTTAGGATTTTTTTGTGTCGAAACTATTCATTATCGATCAAAACGGCTTACATGTCCCTATCTTAACTTTTGATTGACTATCTACTGGAATTTGGTTGGAAAAAATACAGGGTGCTTCAAGATTCAGAATTCTGATCACCCTGTATCTGTTCCAATTAAATGTCAGTAGATAGTGAATCGAAAGTTAAGATGGGGACATGTAAGCCGTTTTGATCAATAATGAATACTTTCGACACAAAAAAATCCTAAAATTGAAAAATCTCGATTTTGATCACCCTATATCTATGTAATCATTCCTGCTAGACCCCAAGTGTGATACATTGATGAAATCATCTTTTCAGG